AAAATTTAACAACTTAAAAAGCACTGTTTTAAGATAAATACATATTAATAAGCTTGAATTTCAAAGTTTAAATAAATCAATATATGAATGTAATACTTACAAAGTTAAATCCTATAAATTGTTGCTTAGTAATGAAAATTGTAAGTTTGAGTTGAAATAAAAATTCTAAATGTAAATTTAAATTCCATTAAATGATAAAATATATAATTGTTTTATTAAGCATTCGATAAAGTGTTTAGTACATAAAAACTATTGTTTTAATTAAGTGAAGAAAAAATGTCAATACAATTCATATTTTTTTTAAGAAATATCAATTGATTCAATAAGTCTGGAATAAGTCTATTATGCTTATTTGTCACATGGTTTCCAGCATCAGAAAATAAATGCTCTGATAGTACAGAGGAAGCTGGCACTGCAAAGTATTGTCTCACCAAAATTATCATAATAGGAAAGAGGGTTTTGTGTTTACACCACCATTCTAGAGAGCAAGCCCCTTCATCAAGAGAAATTTCAGGCAGTTGACAATACCAGTCAAATTCATTGGATTCAACATTAGAGTTTCTGTTCGTAAATGCTTAAAAAATAATGACATTTTAAATTTTTTACATGAATGTGAAAATGCTAAAATCAAATTATCATTAATATTATCATTAGAGGTTGGTGTTAGACAAAGTTCATTAAATTGATGACACATATTCTGGATAGTTGAATGGCATAAAGCACTTGTGCAGAAATTTAGTTTTTTAAATCTTGGGTCGAGAAAGGAATAGCACATGCCTACTTCATTTGGATCTCTCCAACATTCAATTAAATTGTCCAATATCGTTTCTTTAACAAGGATTGCCTTATACTTTTTCCTGTAAAGTACCTGAGCCGATGAGCAAGTTCTTCCAAAATTGGTGTCATAAACCCAAGGGTTGGGTATTTGGATCTACTTAAGAATTAAGTTACTTCATTAAAAGGAAAAAGAATTTCTATTAGTTCTCCTAATAATTCAAATTCTTCTGTAGAAAGAATAAAAGAACCCATAGTTTCTGCCCCTTTTCTAATTTTTCTAATAGTATGATTAGTAAGAGTTGAGTATAATTGTATAATAATAGGTTTTAAATACATAAGATGTTCAATAGCATAAAGAATGGAATTCCAATATGTATCCACATCTTTAATAATATCTAAAAGTTGTTTTAACCTCTGGAGTAATTTGTAATTAAGCTTCATGAAGCTGTTTATATTTTTTTCTTTTGACAAAATTGCAATAAGTGATTTACATTTTGAAATAAGATTATCAACTTCCTTTAAACCTAAATTAACACTTAATTGAAGTGTATGTCTAGTGCACTTTATGTTAGTAATATTCAATTGTTGCACTGCAGATTTGACTTTTAAACTATTATCTGTAATAATAGTAAAGATCTTTGAATGATCAATATTAAATTTATTAAGAACCAAATTAACTAACTTAATAATATTAGATGCATTATATTTATCCAACTCTCCCATATCAAGTATAACCTTGTACAATTTAAATGAATCTGTAAGCCAGTGGCAAGTAATTCCTAAATAGCTATCATGCACTCATGATGTCCAAATATCAAAGGTTAAAGAAACTGTATCTGATGTTTTTGAAATAAGATCTATAATTTGGTTTATTATAGAATTATAGAAATTAAATATAATGGTTTTAATTGTATTAACACATGGTATTTCAAACTGAGGATCAAGACTTTTTGCCCAAAGCCTAAAATTATTATCTTCAACTATATGAATGGGTTCAACATGTGAGATTATATAATGCACAAGTTTATATGTAAGTTTTTTTTGCATATAAAAAGAGTAGGGTCTTGAAATTACTTGCTAAATCATTTGTTGATTAATTTTTAATGATTTATCTTTAAAT